ACCCTCATTTCAATGCAACGAAATGGCCCGAAAATGGACAAAATCCCAAAGTCACCTCGCTGCGCTCGATGCGAAGCTTCCATACGGATAATTGTTCCGCGCGCCTTTGCGTCGCATCTCACTCTGATCCAATAAAGAACCAAAAACACTGTTCACACAACAATATTGTTGATTTTACTTTGAATTCATATGTAAATATATGTCTAACTTGGATTTTATTAATTGTCCCTTTGTCCAATTCCACTTTGGAATCCCATGATAGGGAGACTCTATCCTATAAAACTATATATATTCCCAGCATATTTTCCAAGTTTATAGTGAATTTTTCCAATCCCATGTCCGAGAGCACCATGGATATTTTTTGGCCAATGGCTGTTGAACTACTGCCTTTTCTTATTCTAAAATATGCTCAAAAATTTCACATTAGTACCCTAGCTGGTGTGAGAAGGCGCCATGCTTTGGACACAATCCCGCGTAATAGTTCTATCAATACGCCCGATATATTGGACAACATTGCTCAGAAAAGTTCAAGTAGTGCTCTCGGACGGCCTGCTAACCCCTTCACACATTTTGTACCATCCAACAATAGCATATCTATTGCACATACTACCAAAGACATTAAAACTTCTCACCATCAATTGCCAGCCAACGGCGTCCCCAAAATGACACCTAATTCAATGACCAAGCAGCTAGCGAGACGACACTATTCTGGCCCATAACTTCCTCAAATTTTTATCAAAATCAGTCCCTGTTTTTTTCAATAAACTCTTATTAGTTGGCTGCATACCCTGACATGATTGTCAGCAGCATGATGTCCATATTCCTGGCCAATTTTCTACCCAAGCTATGGGCCGAATATCTGCCATTTTTGCAACAAAACATGGTATATTTTGGCCAAATTTTGGCAGCGTTTCCCCCAATTTTCGGGTTTTCACAAATCTGACGGTACCATAAGTGCCCAATTTCATACTGTGAGTGATGCCAGTTATACTTCTGCCTCCATATCCTAGTCATCAGTTGATTTGGCCAGCGATTTAGGGGTATAACTGCCCACTATTACCTTTAAAAACGTGTCTTTCATTTTGTTTTCTCAAGAATTGCTGCTAGCTTAGATCGGCAGAGGTCTATCAGCTTGCTTTTCTCGCTTCTCTAATAGTGTTGTGCAATTATGCATGTCAATACTGACTGGTCTATGGTGTTGTGGCACCCAACCAGTTGCCATGTGCTAGTCATGAGCCAGTCATTGGGTGACACGGCTTCATGACTAACGGCAAATTTAACAGAGCCCTTCCGCATGGTAACGTAATGTGTGTTTTTTTCTGTGGAGAAACAATAGAATAAGTAACGCTTTTTCAATAAAATGTTTGCATGGCAAAGCAAAAAAAATAAAAATAATGCTCTGAGAAATGTAATGGGGTGCAAAAAGTGCAACGGTAAAATTTTCCCATGCATAAGGGTTTAAAAACCTGCGGTATCTTGGATGTGCACATTCACATCCTGGTTTTGGAGATTTCGCATCCTGGCTTTGGGGCATTCACATCCTTCGTCGATTTGCCCACCACCCGGGCAGGGATCTGGACCCGTCGCCCGAGCGCTGTACGGTCCAGCGCCGTACCCAAGCGCCTCCCTGCCCTGCCCCTTCCAATGCGCATCTCCCCCCTCCACGTGTCACGTGTACCGCCCAAATCACCCCCATACCCCTCCAGGGGCGCATCAAAAAGCGACGCCCCACGCGGCCGCATCAACCCGCGCAGGGCGCGAGCCTCTGGGCGCCTCCGGCGGCCCCCCGCCGGCCGGCAACCCGGGCTTGGCCCCGCGGCACCCCCTCCCCCAAAAAAACTCCCGAGGCCACGGGACCCAGAAACATCAGGCTAGGATCATTCTTCGGCCGCCGAATCCCGCGGGCAGCGGCCGTGCAAGAAGTCAGCGCGTTGGTCAACGCGCCCGTCAACGGTCGTGCAAGCGGTCAACCGCCGCGGCGAGAGCGTCACGGGCGGGTGACACAACGCCCGGGGTCGCCGATCCGGGGCAGGGATGGGGCGGCCACCGAGAGGGAGGGGGGATGGGGCGCCGGGTGGCGAGCCTGGAGGGCGCGGGGGCGGCGGCATGCCCGGGCACGCGGAGGTCGACTGCGATTTGTGGGAGGATCGATGCGCACCCAGCGTGAAGTACTCATTCTCCCAGCAGCAGACTAAGGGCCAGGTGGGGCCCGGAAGGGGGCGGGGATGTCGAGGGATCGCCGCCCAACTCGACCCAGCGTCGCGCTCCTCGTCGGCTCGAACATCAGTCATGGCATTCAGTCACCGGATGGGCCGTTGAGTCAAAGGGGGTTTCGCGCCGCCGGCGATCGCGCGGGGCTGGGCGGGATCGCGGGTGACGGCGGTGGGGGCAGGGACAGGCCCCATTCGCCCCCGGCGCCCGATCCCCTCCGCCTCTAACGCCCAGCCATGAATTTCTTTGGTTTCGCAGTAGAATTGGGCCGCAAGTCGCGACGCGCGGAATGGACAGGATCCTCGGATCCCCGCCTGCGGGGGCGGCCATCCCAGGATGCATCCCCCCGGCCAGGCTGCCCGCCCTTTTTCACGCTGCTTGTGTTCCTTTTGCTGCTCCATTTTTCTCTGACGCCCGGTGCGCGGGCCGCGTCCCGGTTTCGATCGCCGCCCGCCGAGCACACCGCTTCTATTCTTGCCTCACCAGGACATTACCCGCAAGGCGCGATTGCTCCCTTGCCTTGTTGTCAAAGTGCAGATGGTAAAGAGGATGTCTGATCAGGGATCGAGCCGGGTGTCACTGGGTGGGATGTCCCACTGCTCTGCCGACCCCTTGGTCCAGGGTCAGGAAAACGGGTAGTCTAACCCCTTGAGCACCCTCCCGCCCCACGCTTGGCAGCCCCGACATCCGTGATCCGCGATGGTGTGATGCACAGGACGTCGTCTTCGTGCAGGAGGGCCTGACGCGCCGCGAGGACGGCCCGACATGGTCAGTCTACTGCGCATGCGACGGGCACGCGGGCGTCGCCGCAGCGCGATTCGTGCGGGACCGCCTGTGGGAGGCGCTGGGGCCGCTGCTGCCTACGCGGCGCATGCCGCTGTACAAGACTGACGGTGAGCTGGTCCGCCCGGGGCAAGGGAACAGCGCCATCGGCACGCAGACCCATAGTACCAGAAGCCCCTGTGGCATCAGGAGCACCAGTTGTACCAGGAGCTCTAAGCGACGCCAGTTGTACCGGGAGCACTTGTTGCTTCAGTTGTGCCAGTAGCACCAGTAGCACCAGTGGCACCATCAGCACCAGTGCACCAGCAGCAGTAGCAGCACCAGTTGTACCAGTGGCACCAGGAGCGCTGACGCCTCTCAGCATTAGGATGACGGGTGTGTCTCGAGTGTCGGCATGGTGTTTGGGGACGGGGCGGATGGATTCGGGACATGCAATTGGTCGCCCTGCCTTTGCCGTCGAGACCGTCAAGGGGTGAAGACACCCTAAACCCTAAAACCACTGCCCCAACTGACCCACTGACCCACGTTGGCCTTGTCAGCGGAAGAAGGGATCCTCACGGAACAGAGGGACTGACATATTCTCGGTTGGTTGTGTGGCGTGGCGGTTCCGGGCAGCGTACAGTGTCGCGCGCCTGTGTATGACGCCGCAGGTCTGACGTCAGACTCGCGTCAGCTGACTTGGTCAATGTCTGAACCTTGCCGGACAAATATGCGCACATGCGGTTGGGGATTGCTTGGAGGTTCGCGTTCGTTAACGGGGCCTGGATGAGCCCTAATGAAGCGTGAGCGTTCAGGATTGTCAAACGTAAACAGCGGTTGAAAGTTCATCATATGTCAAACAGCCAATTTGGCGAACCCCCCTTCCCCACCCCACCTCCGCAAACCCCCTTCAACACCAGTGTTGGTTTTTCAGTCCCACTTGTCAACCTTTTCGGCAAAAGTGGTACATGGGTCAGTATTTTACATTCGTTTCTTACGCGTTTATTCCTGAATGAGCGGCTCGAGCGACTGACGTCGCAGTTCGAGGCTCACTTTTTTTCCCACTGCACGTCCACGGCGACCAGGCCTGGGTTAACAATACGAATGACAGCCGGACTTCGCCTCTGCGTACTTTGATACAGCAGAATGATACTGAGTATGCAGATATGTGATATTGTCATAAAATGTAGTTTGACGCGTTTCGCATTGTTTTGATTGCTGAACATGGATATGGCACAAAGTACTATGCTGTTGCTTGGGAGGCTGAAGTGCTGCAGAAACTTGCACTGGCTTGCACACATGCTGTGGGAAGGCTGGAAGTGGACAGAGCGTGATGTTAATGCTGTTGCAAACTGTAAAGAATCAGAGAAAAGTGTGACATTGGCAATCGTCTTTGATGTGTGGGAAGGCTGTGGCACACGCTTGCACACTGCAAGCCTCCCACTTTCACTGCAGAATGCTGGTTGCATTTGGATTGCATTCAAAATAGGGTACATGTTGCCCTTGCATTCCAACGTCGACTATGAGCATTGTTGTATCTGCTTTGTTTGTCCATGCTTGTACACCTGCTGACGCCAGAAATTCCAGAAGGAACTGTAAACAACGCCCCAATGGGCAGCCGCACTGCTGGTGCTGCACTTCTACAATGGAAGCCAGAGTGTGAGATGTCTTGGCCAGTGCCAAGTGGGATTTCGGCATTCAAGGGTCAAGTAAATGGCCTGGCAGTATGCCAGCAGTGGAAGCAGCAGTCGCAGTGGAACAACCGAAATACAGGAGAACATAATCTGCAGGGTTTTCAGAAGGGTGGCTGTGCCATGACAGGCTTCTTCTTTGTGCATGAATGGATATACTGATGTATAATGGATATAATCTAATATAATCTGTACATCTGTAATGGATAGAATCGTGTACAATGGATGTAATCTGAAGCCAGAATACTGCTCTACAGGTTTTAAAAACTTTGCACTTGAGGTGAGATTGGCTGTCGTGAAGGCTTTTGTTGCTGTGGGACAAAGGTTCAAGGCAGACCTTCCGAATGACGCCTCAGGTAAGACCTTTGGGAGCGCTCGCATGTGCAAAGGCTTGACAAAGTTACAAAGTTATAGTAAACAAAGTGCGGACTGAGGCAGGAAACTGCAGGGCCTGTTCCCAACTCGTGGCAACACAAGGGCCAATGTGGCCCAAGCTGTGTAAGGGTACTGAATCTGAGAGAGGGGAGCAAGGGCGGGGAGCTGGTTTCTGCACTCATCCAGTGTGTACCTGCTTTAGGAAAACAGTGCCATATGTCACCGATTTTGCTGATGGTATGTGCAGGATCTGGCAAAATGACCAAAGCATGGATTCTTGATTTGGAGGGTTGGGCATGGAATGGATGCCTTGATGTTGTTCCTTTGAGTGCTCACAGTGCTGGAGGGTGCCTGGGGCATCTGTGGTGCCAGCGGTTGGGCCCAGGAGTGCAGTGGCTGGTTCCCACCCATCCTGAGAGTTTGGATCGAGAAGACCTCTCAGCTGCTTCGAAACAGCATTTGGGGCAGAATTTCGCTGCGTGTGCATCATTGTGCGGCCGCAATTTTGTAGCTTATAATGCCAAACAGCCCCCCCCCCCCCCTTACTCCGGCGCATCATTGGTCCTACTTTTGTCATTCAGAGCTGAGATTCATGACCATTGTTGCTGCAGGCACCACAGCGACACTGGCATTGCTGTGCGGAAGGCTGCTGACTGTGGCCAACGTGGGCGACACAGATGCCGTGTTGGACTTGGGCACGGACGCCTTCCTGGCAACGACCAACCACAAGATTGCCTCCAGTGATGCAGAGTATGCGCGGCTGGCCAAGGCAGGTGTTGAGATTGCCGCACTGGCACCTTCCCTGACGCAGCCTGCGAAGCCAGGAGAGAGCAGTGTGGGGCCCATCAGGTGCTGGCCTGGAGGGCTCACTGTTGCAAGGTCTGTGGGGGACATCGAGGCTGGGGCACACATCATATCGAGCCCCCATGTTCTGCAGGTGTGCCCGCTGCTTGCTTACCTGTTTGGTTTTGTCCTTGTGATGATCTTGGTTTTCTTGCTAGCAAGCTGGGGCCCAGTTGCCTGCTGTCAAGGTACGAGTTGTTACATTTCAACAGAGAAGCTGGTCATACTGAGGTCAGCCCCTCATGAAATGCATGATAGTCTACCCCATACCGTGGAAAGATGAAGTAGACTATCCCAGTACAAGATATTCACACAGCATGGGCCACATGGCTTGCAAGAAACACCACTCTCAAGTTGTTGCATGGGGTGGTGGCAGAACACTATTGCGTTCACTGTTCGAACACCCCGCCCACAGCCGAGCCACACAAAGGTTGGTGGTGGACACGAAGAACAGAAACGCAACATTGGATATTCACAATGGATGGGGGGTTCCCACATTGTGCACAACCCTACCACCCCTCACCCTCTGCCCACCCAGTCCACCCAGTCTACCCTTGGCAGTCCATAATTGGCTTGACAAGTTTTTCTTGGCAATTATTCGAATTCCTATTAGAGCCATGGTCAGGATTAAGCTCACAGAGATTTTTCTATTCCAGAAAAGGCAGCACGATAGTCAGTTCTAAAATTTTCACTTCCGCACCAACAATGCATCAATGCGATAGAATGTATCCAAGGGAAGGACAGAAGCAACCGGTCAACTGCTGAAGGGTGAACAGCGAAATGTCCACAGGGACATCGATAGCATCGAGATGTGCATCAGCCCCAGTTCTCATGATCACAGCGACCAGAAGGAGAGCCCGAGGAAAACTGCTGGGATTCGTGCTGGTTTGGTCAGTGCTCTCTTCAATGTGCACTCTTGTTTGTAGTGGTTTCATTGACTCGCAACTGGACTCTCCATTTTTCAGCAACACTGCCAATATGATGCACAGACAACAACCTGCCGTCTGTAGATGGATGAGAAATTCACGTGGGCTTGCTTCTCTTTGGACTGCAGGTAAGCTTGCCCAGGAGCGGCGCTCGGTTGCTCATGGGCACCGGCGGCCTGTGGGACTTGATCCACTGGGAGGAGGCTGCCCAGATGGCCCGTCGGGCGCTGACAGAGGATGCTGCACAGAGGGTCATGAACTTGGCGATGCTCCAGAACAACTGGTCCATTCGCCTGGACACGAGCATCCTTGTGATCGATGTGCTGCCCGGCGACAGGGGCGATTTCCCAAAACTCGTGAAGGCCAAGATGAGAAGGAGGCAGGCTGCAGGTGGAGAGCAGGCATGCGATTGCGACCTTAGACAGTGCCTTCTGCGCAGGTCCAGCAAGAAGGGCAGAGAGAACCTGGGCATGAACTGCGACGACTATGAGGTGGTGTCCAGAACGGATGGCGCGGATGCGGTTTCGCCTCCGCCCAATGACAGCTGCTCGAGCTTCCCGGATTTGCTGTCAAGATCGGAGGGAGTGGAACATAAGAAAGTGCAGGCCAAGGCCAGGTGTGGGAAGGCAGCGGGCTATTCACAAGGAAGGAGGTCATCCGCAGGGTCGTCGATCGACAAGAGGCTGGCACCAGTTTCAATGCGCAGATCCAGTGCTGCAAGGACGTCAGCAGCTGCACAGGCAAAGCCCTACATTTCCTGCCCATCCATCAGGTCTCCCGGGCGGTCCCTTGAAAAGTCGCCGAGGAAATCTGGCTCTTCGCCCAAGTACTGCCAGACTTGTGGGAAACGTAACAGTGGGAGCATGGACTGCCTCAAAAACATGCGGTCCCCACGGTGTGCATGCGCAGCCAATGTTATGCCTCTCATGGTGAACAGTGATCCTGGCCACCAAATGGGGCAGAACGCCCGCCCTCAGCAACCTGTGGGCAATCGACAACCCTGGGAGAATATCGCTGAGCTCCATGGGGGAAACTCTGTGAGGCAGGTGAGGAGCACTGATGTGGGAATCCTTTTGGAAATTTGTCAAGAGCAAAAGTGTTGCCCTGGTAAAGGTAGCAGTGCATTTCCCAGCAGTTTCAATCTGATGACGAGGCTGAGACCATATACAAGTATGCTGGTTGTGTGCCATCGACGCCCACAGCGTGTAAGGGCACTGCTTTGGTTTTCGAAGGGAATTGTAGACAGAGATTCCGTTTGGTTACGCAGTCCATTAACCCTATCTGGAAGCAGACCCAGAATCGAATCCGTGTGCAAAATGCTGAGTCTCTTTCCCTGCCCACAGGCAAGGAACCCTGGCTGCGTGTCAGTGAGAGGCAACCGAAAGTCTTGGGTGAGGGAGAATTCTGATGGGCAGTCCCATGTGCAGGCGGTGTCCGCGCCTTTGACAGAAGCGCACGGAAATTTGGTTAATTTCTTGATGAACTCCACGCAAAGCGAGGGACAGCTGTCGACGAGGGCAGCAGGAGGGGATGATCAAATGCATGGGAGGAGAGAGGCGTTCGAAATTTCCATGTCACAGGGGCAGTCGGATCGCCAGACTGGGGCCTTTAGTGATAGCTGTGCATCAGACAGCAGTGGGAATCTGGTGCGAGCCAGGAGGGATGAAGATGGGAGAAGGCAAGGGACCTTGGAAAGCCAGACCAGAAGGCTGCATGAACGCACACAGGGGGGGCGTTGTATTTCTGGACCATCACTACAGAGTGTGGTGGAGGAAGATCATCGCAGATTTGGAGAGGCCTCTGAAGTGCCTGCTGTGTTGGCGCCCAACGAAAGGTGGCCTGCTGGACACAATCAGGGACAGGGGCTGGACGGCGACAGGAGGAATGGCAGCAGAGGGCGCCGGAGGTGGGGGAGTGGCAAGTTTGTGTAGATCCAGGGCAGCAGGAGGGTTTACCAATCGGCACACATCGACATGAGCACTGATCAGGGGATGCCCAGATCAGCGAAAACGAACCAAGGCTCCCCAGCTCTGCAGGGCTTTGATAGGTGTGAGGTCAGCAATCCCCAGATTTCATATGAAAGGCATGCAAATATGGCACAGTATTCGCATGTAGGCGCTGTCAGAGGCGGCTGGTGAGGAGGGTATGTGTTTGTGTTCCATTTCTTGATTCCTGCTGACTTTTGCAGGCTGCAAAAATGACGCAGAAGTTGCATGGATGCGCAACGGGAGTTGTGCCTGGGGGTATGGATTCTTTCACATAGTTGAGGATTGCTTGAGGTAGGTGCAGTGAGGTTGGTGTATTTCGTTTACTCGATTTCATTGATGGCGATAATTGCCCTCCTTAATGACAGAAGAACCTCCTGTCAGACAGATTGATGCTGACAGTGTACTGTGAGTACTGTACAGTACTTTTACTGTGTTCGAAGTGGCAGTTTCGTGCTGTGCGCCAATGGCATCGTCATAGGCAGGGCTCCTGTCCTGCAGCATGAGAATTGTGCACTTGCAGCTTTGTGGGCTTGGCCCCGTGCAGTCTGTGCAGCTGATGGGATTGCGTCATTCCTGTGGCCCACCGTGGTCACGATGAAGAAATGTGCATGGGTGAAAAAAATGCGTCAGATGTACAGAACCTGTGCTTCTGCAACATGAAGATATTAAATGGGAATTGCAAGGGAAGTTTCAGAGGGTTTGAGGAGATTTTCACAGCTGCGGGTGGGGCAGGCTGTGGGCCAGCGTGGACTGATATGTGGGTGATGGTGATGGTGAAGTGGGTTCTCACCTTTGAAAAGAAAATATCATTTTGGAGTTGTTTCTTGTGGTAGTGCCCTGGCAGCAGCAGCCAATGCATCAACAGCATTGTAGTCAGTGATAATCTGGGATGCCATCTGTGGGCAATGGGGCTGATGGATGACGTGACGGGGGGTTCACCCCTTGGGAGACATCCCCATACGGGGAGGTCAACTTCACCATTTGTTGGAAGCCTTTTAGTGTACAGTGCCCGCACATGGGCCCCTGATGCATCATCTGCATTGCTCACGATCTGTCCGTGAGGATGTGGCACTGGTGAGGAGAGGGCTGGAGGGGCTGGTTGTGAAGGGTCTGGGTTTCATCCTTGCAAATGGACGGCGGACGCCATAACGCATTCTGTTTTGTTCTTTTGTTCCTTTTCATGGGCTGTCATTGGATCCTCCATATCGGTGCCAGGCCGTTGCTGTGGCCCCGACGCTGGGTGACGAGTCTGCAGGCCAGCTTGAGGATTTCATTCTGAACAACGTTTCTGGGAAAAGCAGTACATCGATCAGTACTTACATTACTTTATTTTACCGGTTTTCCTGGAAAGCATCTTTCTTGGGGCTGAGTCGGCGTTGACATCATGGGTGTCTAGTAACAGATAGGGATGGCGCGACTTTGTGCGCGGTCTCAACTTTCCCTCCAGTGTGGGGCTCGAGCGGGAAGACCACACAGACACTCGAGGGTATATTAGCTGTGCAGAATGCTGGAACTATCGAATCTGGAAACGCGTGCTGGGTCTCAGAACACAGAATGGTTCTGGCGGTTTGAGAATGCTGTTGCTTTTGTTTTTAACGGGGTGAATGAATGCACGATTGCAAGCAGCGAGTCTCGGCTCAAAAAGGGTAAAAGTATGGTGAAAAGACGGAGACATGATATGGTATTTAGTGGACGGTAGCAGCTGGCCAGTGCCCACATCTACAGCGAGAAAGGCCACGCGCTGGCCGTGGCAGCTGCCCGCTCGGATAGCCGGACGGTGTCAAGTCGCTGCGTTCGATAACAGCTGTGCAGCACTTGACATGTGAACACCTGGTGCCTGCGCCACCAGAGTGGATGTAGCGCGATGGCCCCTGGAGAGCCAAATAGCTCTGAACGTGGAAAACTCTTGCCGTAAAGTTGGCGGCCCCTCCCTCGAGGCACTTCTGCAGGTTGCATTCGCATGTATCAGTTCCGTATGATTCACTGATGAAGCGTTTTCGTGGATTCTTTTCAACTGCGTACCAGTGTTGCTCACGTCGAGTCCAAATTGCCGTAGTCTTCGATGTTACATTTACTAATCAAATGAACAATATCACTGCCATTCGCCTCCAGGTGATGGGGGACGGATAGTGGCGACTTGAGGATATTCGTTTAGGAGTTGGAATACATAGCAGCACCGTTGAATTCAGCATCAGAGGATCAGGACCTGGCCTGACTTGGACCACAACCTTCCAAGATCGTCTGGCCTTGTGGTCCAGTGCGGGCGCCACACTGCAAGTAGTACTGCCTTTGCACGAGCAATGTGCATGTCTGTGTTAGAAGTCGGCGCTGGCCAAACGCTACTGTCCGCTAATTGCCGTACCGTATTTCCCATTTTTTTGTCGTACTATTCCGTTAAAACTGAGGAACCTGCCGTGGTGTCCGGTAATGTGGGGTGGGGTGGGGGCAGTATACCGTGTATACCATTGCAGCCCTGTGGAGCACTGTTGCAGCCCATGCAAGGGGAATGGCGCCAGCAGCACGGCGAGCGGCCCTCCGCGGGCACCCCAAGGCTTGTCGCAGTAGCAGAGAGCCACAAAATGGGTGGTTGGTTGGCGCTTCGCAGGCGCCCATACCCACCACCCGCGTTGGCCTCGATTGGCCCCCATGGGTGGTGGGAATGGGCGCCTGCAAGGTGCTGTTTTTGCCAAGAAAATGACGCCTTGCAGGTGCCCCATCCCACCACCCACCGGGACCAATTGAGGCCCACGCGGGCAGCAGAATGGGTGCCCACAAGGCACCATTCTTTTGGTAGTTGTGCCCACCTAGGTCGCACAAGATGGCCCCCAGGGCTGGTGGTAAGCCGAACCCGTGGAAACCCACAATGCTGCGCCCTCTCCTCAGCCTGTTGCACCAAGCATTACGATATAGCAAGCTTGTGTGGATGGGGCACCTACCTTCTTTAAGCCGCTGACCCGCCTCGCCGGGCACCTAGGACCTTATGGGGTCCTAGGCAGGACCACCCTGTCCTATTCCCATATAAAATAATAATAAAATATCCAAGTTGGGAAACTATTACTATACCTTGGGCAAGGCGTCCCCCAACAGGAGACCAAGGCAAGGCATCCCCCACACTAGGCCTATGCATAACACACTGGTTCTAGCCCCAACCCCAAGTGGTGAGAGAGGGAGCGCCATGGTCGGTGAGAGGGATGGGCCCAAAGAGAGGCTCTTGGCAATGCGATGCTACTTTACCAGTTAGTGATGCTTCGCTATGGCTGCCATCCCCCCCCCCCAGGCTTTGATTACCGTTGCCTTCGCTCCCTGCCGATCCCTGGGCCCCGATTACCACTGAATCTGCTCCCTACCATCATCCGGACCCTATTTCTGCTAATTTCCGGTTATTTTATTGATCACAGCACGGACTGCTAAATAGCAGACGGTAGGGCCGACTTCTAGTCTGTGTATGGGTGTGCGGGTGAGTGGGGTGGGCTGGGGTCTTCTGGGCGCATTGTGAAGCTTTCTCAAATAGCCAACCCGAACCTCAATCAAGTGCTACCAACCTCGAATCCATTGGAGCAGAAGCTAGAGAGTTTTGCAATGATCAACATACGCGTTTGTGGAATGGCAAATGTGACAGATTTTTGGCACAGTGCTAATGTGGCGAACTGTTAAGCAACCCCAATATTTTGTCCGTTTCATTAGTATTACTAACGAAACTACTAAGTCAAACTTGCATGACCTGCTGGGGCATGATGCACTAAACCTGTCAAGGCACAGTGAGCATATACTAAGAGGTTTCTAATCATGGATTGACTGTCGAGTCGCTGAACCCTTTGTTCCTTTAATGCTACCAATAGACAAGCATCGCGGATTGCTATCCAAGCTCTTTAGGAACCCTCTAAACTTCCGGGTTGACCCTTAACCCTTCTCTACACTCTCCATGCTCCTAAGCCATCGGGCAGCACCAACGCTGACTTTTTCCATTGTTCCGAAACCATCCCTCATGTGGGCACCCCTACCCTGACTACCAGGATCGTCAAGGCTGGCCAAGGAGCATTAAGGCCTGGCGAGGATCGTCAAAGCTGGGCAAGGAGTGTTAAGGCCGGGCGAGGATCGTTCAGGCCAGGCTAGAACATTAGGGCTGGGGATTGGATCATTACATCAGGACTAATAAATGATGATGAGAGTACTGCGTTGCTATGCTGGAATGACCTGATTCCCTCAGGAGTCTTAAAGACCTTTCAGAATGTGAATATGTGAGGTGAGGAATGAGCTCATGCCAGTCGGAAGTTACCATTTCGGGGTGCCACGGCTTCAGGAGTATCAAGCAGAGGGCTCCAATAAGGATTGTGGTGCAGATTGGCTTTCAACGATTGGTACGTTGGGACATCGAAGGTTCTTTCGGACTTGTACATGAGACAAACATTTTGTGTAAGGGGATATACATGGGCCCACCACTTGGACTTGACTCGATTGTATATGCTTCTGACTGCGACTCCATTGTTGATTTCCCTGCCCTATCCCATTTCGCCTGTGGGTAAGGAGGCGACTATGTCGTTATCTGAGAGTTGGGACCGCATTCATTGCCCATCAGCCCATTGAGAAGGCTGGTTTGGCACCTAAGGCTCTGCAGCAGGGCCGCCTGGACTGCATCCGTTCGTCATGGCTAAGGTACGCTGGTCGACCTGCCATCGAAAAAGGCGCCTCTGGAGCGATCCTTCAGCAAACCCCCTTTCCGCAGGGCCCCGCCCACCGGCATAGGGCCGGGGCCGTCACTTGTGTACTCTCGTGTCGTCATGTCGTTCATACGGTACGATTGGGGGGGTGTGCGCCGAGATCAGCGCAACCCGCCTCGATCAGCGCGAAGTTTTGCTTGAAGTCTGGCCCGGCGCACTCCCGAGCGACCAATACCGTTCCCCCGCCCCCAAGATCGGCTCCCGCCGCTGGGTGATGTGGTACAGCCCAGCGGCGTGGGGAGCTCCACCCCCAGTTGCGCACTTGCCTCCTCCAAGAGCCGGCCGGCGACATGACGGGCTGGGCATCCAGCGCCCAACGTTCTGCACCTCCCCGGCGACCAAACCTCCCCACATTGGCCCCAGCTTCCGCCACATCCCACTCATCAGTGCCCCTGCGCCAGGTTCGGTCGCCCATTGCGTGCCCGCTGACGCACGGGACTGCCAGGGGTCCCATTACTGCTCCCCGCAGTCAGTTCCCTGTGGTCTCCGGCGAGGCGCGGTGCCCTGGCCGGGGCTGGTCGGCGCTGGGGCGAGGCGTGCGAGGGCCGGCGTACGACCGGGCGCCCGACGCTCCCTCCTGCCGGGGCATCCCCCGCTCCCTCCGCGAGAAAAGCGCCCTCCCGCTCCCCCAGATGTTTTAGGGGCGCATACCCGGGCGCTTAGCAATTCCTTTTCCGCCCAGGGTCCACCCCTGCGAGCGCCGTAGAGGTCGTTGCCCAGGGGAGTGCCCAGTCGTTCGCAGGCGCGAGGAGAGGGGATGGCGGGCAGGGGGCCGTCCACGACCCCGCGGGGGCGATCCTGCAGGGACGGGGGCGCCGCATCGAGGGGGCCTCGCACTGTGGATGCCCACTCCGCCTGTCAGAAGATCAGGACAGGCCAGGTGAGATGCTGGGCCGTTCTTCGCGCTCGGGCTGCCCAGCGGCGTCGTGTTCCGGCCGCTCCCGCTTGGGAGCTGTCGCCGCATTTTGCCTCGTCGTTTCGTGGATCTGGCGTCCCTGCGCAGAGCCGGTTGCGTGCGCCGTCGTCCGGAACGGAGCTCTCGGGAGCGCAAAGGCCGGCGCGGGCGGCGACCTGGTCGAAATCGACGGCAACTGCGACCGAGAATGGGCTCAAATTCCGGCCAACGAGGGGGGGCAATGGCCGGGATGCTCGCGCTCGGTGGGTCCGATTCGGCCCAGGGCGCCCCTTGGGCGTCTTTCTCCTCGAGGAGACGGCGCGGCGACGCGACACATATCATCCGGTGGCGCCAAACGCCGTCGGCAGGGATGAAAAATAGAGTCCCTTGGGGCCCCACACACCGCCACATCTCGTGGGTACGCGTGTTCTCCGGAACGCATCTCGCACCTCCAACCGCGGTACCAGCGGATTGGTTCACCCCTCCCGGACACCTCCTTGAGGCGCGACCGCCCGCAAATCTGTCCAGTCGCCGCATCGGACACCAAAAACCCACAGAAATCTTTTCACAATCTTTCACCAGAAAGTCTTCTTCACAATCACGGCGGTCGGCTGAACCGCTGGCACTTGCGCTCGCAGGACGCTCTGCTGGCGCGCAAAGGGCTGTCGAGTGCAGAGGCCGGCCCGTCATGGTCGCTGTACTGCGTCTGCGCGGGCCACGGCGGCGTGGAGGCCGCGAACTACGTGAGGGACGGCCTGTGGAGGGAGCTCAGGGCGCTGCTGCCGCGCCAAGCGATGCCAGAGCGCGAGGGGGACGGTGGGTGGCGCCTTAAGTACGGCAACGCTCGGTCGCCTGGGCCCAGGGGCCCACCAATGGGCTTGCAGTACTTGCTCCATCAGGGCCGGTCAAGCAAAGCATGGATTGAGCGGATAGAGAAAGTGCATTGTTGGTGGTTCTTTGTCTTATTTCACGAATTTTGACCACTTGGACTGTCGAAGTACTGTGCAGTACTTGTGCTTCTGCCACCACATGGGGGTGGCGGACTCACATTGGGCGGCTCGCGTCCTGGTACAGCAGGCGCATGGGGCGGTGAGGGGGTGATGTGACGCCTCACGGGCGGGGGGTGGATGACATTTTGATCCGGGGATGAAGAGTGGATATTGGCGTCCCTGAGCAGGTGCGCGGCGTTGCACGACTAGTTAGCCAACAATGCCTCATTCACGAATTTTCCATTGCGTTTGATACAAAATGAGCATTGTCTCACATTAATCTACCTCTTCTTAAGCACATGGGGAAAGAGTAAAGGGGACAACATGTCATTCAGGCCCTGGTCCCTTGCTGAGCGTTTGGGACCCTTGTCCGTACTGTGAAGGATGATGTGTAAATCTCCGGGATCATGGGGAAGCACACAGTATGGTGCAGAATGCACAAGTCGGCGCATTCGCTTTCTTACCAGACGGCACAAGGCTCGCATCGCTTCTGTTACCATGTGGCACGCGAATTTCTAATTGTGATCCGATAATTGGAAGCGAGCAGCTGCCCAGGAGTTGTTCGTCTGAGCAAGTTGTGACAGCGATGCTCGCGATCACACACCAAAGTGCAAGAGTGATGTTCAGGTGGGGGCTTGGGCATTCGCGATAATAGCACCGGCAAAGCGGTGTTGAGAATGCACAAAAAGGTCCTCATATTCCAACTATTGCCATAAAATGCTATAAGTACAGCTCAAATACATGGCAAGCACGGTCAAACATTTTCGATGAGGCTCCGCGAGTTTTGCAATAAAAGCATGCCATTGACTGTGTCTTGAACACAGCAGGATTTTGTAGGAAACAAGCTGCCATTTGTAAGTTGGGTGTGTCAAGCACCCAATTGCCTATTGTTAACCTGTTATCTTCCGCTGGCATCGCAAATATTACACCAAGGCTCCATGACAAATGTGCAGAGACCAACATATTCTCAACACTACAGGAAATTGCGGGTAACAAACAATTCATTGCCAGTGGTTTGTGACGAGCACTGGGCGAGCCGCCCATTGTCTGGAAAGTGAGACTGGTCCGTCATTTCAGGATTCCGCGAATTTGCTCTGGAAGTGAGGGTTGCGTTGGTGAAGGCCTTTGTGAGAATCGGAGAGCAATTTCCAGTCGACCGTCCGGGCAACATCTCAGGTGCGCTCGGGATGTCGAAACTCCTGTTTTCCATTCCGGGATGTCTAACTAGACCTTGTAAGGTATTCTTCAAAATTTTTAGCGCTTTCTTGCTCCCTGTCCTTACTGTATCAAATTCAACTTGCGAAATTCCTAAATTCGAAAGCGATATTAAGTGATTATTCTGGGCGAATCGATTAATTAACTGAATAGCTGAAACGGCACTATCACTGTCCACACCTTGTATTGCGGCAGCGGATCAGGCAATGCAACCCATGCTTCCCAACACGAATTGAACTTCCGTTCAATCCCCAGGGAATCAGCTGATGTTTCGGCACAAACGCTGCACCAAACACATTGGCTTCAGGCCCTGTAGGGGCGACCGCCACTGTCGCCCTGCAGTGAATCGATACGAAGAGAAAAAGGAAGGAAAGACGGGCAGAAAGTAGAGAGAATGCCTTACAATATTCAACCCTTCCACGTCAGCAAAATTTTACCGTTACGCTTATTGCAACGCATTTTGCTTTCAGAGCTTGCTTTCGTTTTGTGTATTGCTCCACGAAGTAGGCCAAGCGTTGCGTTAGTATCCGGAAGGGTTGAATACTTTACGGTAGAAAGAGAAGGCAAGACAAGAAAAGAATGTATAAAAAGGTATGAATGAATGAATGAGTGAATGAATGAATGAGTGAATGAATGAATGAGTGAATGAATGAATGAGTGAATGAAATGAGTGAGTGAGTGAGTTAGTTAAATGAATGGAATGAAATGAATGAAATGAATGAATGGAATGAATAGAATGAAATGAATGAATGGATGAATGAATGAATGAATGAATGAATGAAATGAATGAATGAATGGGCATAGACAGATAATAAAATAGATGAATAGATGAATAAGATAAGATAGATAGTGAATAGGCAAAATGAATGGAATAAAAGATAAAATAGATAGATAAAATAGATGAAATGAAATGGATGAGTGAATGAATGAATGAATGAATGAATGAATGAATGAAATGAATGAATGAAAATCCTTATAGACAACGTGAAAAAACGAGAGTGATCCTGTCACGTGTCTCTGCTGAACTGCCGCAATGAAACAGCGTCCTTTGCAAAAAAAGGAAATGAAAAAATGAAGGAAAAGAACAGAATGAAAAAGGTGAAACGGAAATTTAGAAAAAGAGTAGAAGAATGAAACAGTATAAGATGAAAGTAAAAGAATAAGGTGCTGTCGTTCAGCTGCCCTGTCCTCCCTTGCAGGCGCCTCCGTAACGCTGGCCCTCCTGTGCGGCCGCCTGCTGACGGTGGCAAATGCGGGCGACTGCGACGCCGTGCTGCGTGTCGGCGCCGAGGCCTTCCTTGCGACCGTGAGCCACAGCATCGCCCACAGCGCCGCGGAGCGCCGGCGGCTGTCGGAGGCCGGCATGGCCATCGCGCCCATGTCGCGGTCGCTGAGGGGGCCCGCGGGTCCGGGGGAGAGGGGCGTGGGGCGACTGAGGTGCTGGCCGGGGGGCGTGGCCACAGCGAGGTCCATCGGAGACGTGCCGGCCGGAGAGCACGTGATGGCCTGCCCGCACGTTTTCCAGGTGCTGTCCTGTTCCGGGGGGATGTTCTGGGTATTAGCATTGATGCAGAAGGGTTTAGTATTTTACGGTAGAAAATTTTCTGCCATAAAGTGATCAAGCCTTCCGCATCAGAAATTTTATCGTTACGCTTTTTGCTTCGCATTTGGCTTTCAGAGCGTTGTTCTCATTTTTTCACGTTGCTCCAACTAAAATGGCCATATTTTGTGTTGTTGTTTATAGATTTTTCTCTAGAGAAAAGACCTATCGTTGCCTCACTATGCGGAAGGTTTGAATATACTACGGTGCCCTGGGATGTGTTGCCTTACCTAAGGCTACATTAGGGTATGCTGCCTTTTTCTGGGTAGACTTTACTGTGCAACGCGTGGTGTGCGAGTCGCCGCTGAGGGCTGCGAGCAATTGATTTTGAAGCTGCCTGACATAGTTATCGTAATGTACTGCGAACGCATTGCATATGGGCCATGTTATCCCATATGTCGTGTGTTTCTGTGCATTTTCGAAATTACAGGTAGATTGTTGAGTTTAGAAACGGGATTAATTAATCAATCACCAAACAAATGCCTTTGAATCTGTCAGCAATGGCTTCAAATGTGGGAAATTGGCTTCTTAAATGGCACCAGCTGCGGAGCCAGTGGAAATAGCGGTTGTGATTCGTCACTGCGGCGTCCTTGCCGCTAAGGAAAAAAGGCCAAATAACACATATATATGCATCTCATCAGTTTTACGCATGCTGAAAACACGAAAATAACCCAAACCCGTAAGCTTTGTTCACGTTTGAGCACGTGTTATTCGGGCCCTTTTTTCGTAGTGTGCTGCTTAGGGACAAGTGACAAAGTGCGTGCCAGCGCACAGAACCGCCCCTTTCGCACAAGCCCTGATATTGGCAATCTGTCTAGAACACTGTACAGACAGCGCTAAATACGTTGGGCATTCTTTTAGTGCAATGCAACATTCATTGCAATCGACACAATCCATGGTTCTCCTTCCAAAGCAGGGCGCAAAAATGTGAGTAACAGTACCGATGTGGAGCAAATCTTGACCGAGCGTCCACCTTATGCAGAAGTCCCTCAACCTTTCTCACTTCCCGTGCCACCGTGTAGCACCGTTAATCTCGTCAATCCGTATGCCAAACCACGGCTTAGCTGATCTTTGTCCACTCGTCCCACAGATCATGCTGCCCGAGGCTGGCGCTCGGCTGGTGATGGGCTCCACCGGGCTGTGGGAACTGATGAAGTGGGAGGACGCCGCCCAGGCCGCCGGACCCGGCCCAATCAAGGACGCCGCGCCAAAACTCGTGGAAGCCGCTGCGCAGCAGAAGCACCGCTCAAGCGGCAGTGACGTGAGCGCCCTGGTGGTTGACGTCATTCTTGAGGAAGGCGAAATTCCAAGGGCGGCGGATGGGAGGCGGGGCGGTGAGCGCGGGCAGGGCGCCGGGTGTAAAGGGCCAGGGGAGGGGTCGGCGAGGCGGCTGTGCGGTCTGCTGCCCGGCATCTGCGGGGGGATGAGGAAGGAGAGGCTGGGGCCAGGACCGGACGTGTGGCGGTGCCGCCCTGATGAGAGTCAGGTGGGGGGAATGGTTGATGGGAAATGGCGCGGAGCGGACTCGTTATTGTGAAGCGGGCAAAGCAAGGATACAATCTGAACTCTGGTTGTCCGCGGATTCGCAGAGGTTCTGTCCAATCTGCCAAACGCATTCACGTCTGTACGCAACGCCCCGTCTATCCATACTTTAGTACATAATGTCTCATCATCTCTCGGTAGAATCAGTGCCGAAAGGGCGTTTGGCCGTGCAGCCAAAAGGCAAAGAGATCGGCATCAGGCCACCAATGCACTGCCCTCAGCGGGGCCTCAGGGAAATGTATGTGGTATCAATTTGCGAAACCCGAAATCAAATTTGAGCTCACAGATCTTGTGTTATTGTATGGATTTATGTTATAGATTTATTCCATGGATTTTTTTTATACTTCTTCCGTCTAAGATTAATTTTCCTCTATTACTTTGGGGCATTACATCTCCATTCCAGCGACATCAATTTTCATTGAAATTTCACCACAGTTGGGCTTATAAGTTTCGAGTACGATATCGAACTTCAAGCCAATCCATTAGGTATTTAGGATTTGGCAGTACTTTGTATATAAAAATCTTTTCATCTAGTAAACCTCGGTATTTGGACTTCGAATTGACCAAAATTTACCTTTCGCCTAATGCTCAACAGAGTCTCATCTGATTTCTTCTCCTTAGAAATTGGTAGTTAAGTGTTCTGAAACCCGATCTTTCCGATTTTCAACTTATTTTGTAATTTTGAGGTGGTCCTGTTAACGAATTTGGTATTTCAAAGAGGAGACAATTAACCGTGGACAGAAGCAGTTTACGGATTTAGCTCCATGCCCAGATGATTTTACACCATTCTCCGGATTTCAGGTCGTGGCGAACATCGACGGCTGGATGATGCTCAAGACGGCGCTCGAGGCCAAGCTCGACGACAGCTGCTCGAGCGCCATGGAGCTGACGTGCCTGCTCCTGGCGGACCCCGGCCTGGACGGCGGCAGCGGCAACCACGACGTCCAGCACGTGTCGCAGCCGCCGGCCCTCGAACCACAACTCCCACGCCGGCCACCGTCGAGCTCTCGATCTTCGGCGTGCTCTCCGCGTACTACCTCTACCGGAAGCCTCCCCTCCGAAGACCAGGAGGCGCCCCACGGGAGGCCTTGCCCCTCGGAAAGGTCGCGGGGGGGGCATTTTGTGATGTCCAACCCGCTCTGCGACGTGGACGGGGTTTGGACGCCGCCGAGAGAGACCGACGCGCACGTCGGGGTACGGAACTGGGCGCGGGGAGAGCCCTTCAAGCCGGCCGGTGGACCGGACGCCGCGGGCGCCGCCGGGAGGCCGTCCCTCGGTTTCCTGGACAGCGCGTCCAGCGACCAGCGGGCCGCAGAGCGGCGTGAAGCCGAACTTTCGCAAGGGGGGCTTGGATGTCCTCCCTCCGATGGGGTTCGCCCAAGCCCTGACAAGGACGGGGGGGAGCAATGTACGGGCGCCGGCCGCCGTCCCGAGGACGAATGGGGGCGGAAAGCGCCCTTTGTGACTGCGCCGTCGCAGTGGAAGTCGAACGCACTCTGTTCGAGGGAGGACGACGTTGACGTGATGGAAGTGTTCAGGGGAGAGGAGACGTGGGAATTCGACAACCCGGACCACCACAGCGGGAGCACGACCCCGACTTTCGTCGGGAGCGTGTCCATGGACGTTTTGTCCAATTTGATCGGCTCCGCTGGGCCCTTCACGTGGGAGGCGGAGTGATTTTGCGTCCGTTAGCTATTGACGTATCGTATACGCCATATACACTAGCTACTGACTCGGCGCCTGAGCCGAATAAATGAATTTCCGGGCGTCAATGACGCCACCAGAACGTGAACGTGCGGCGCATTTGAACGCAGGCCTGAATGAGGCCGGCGCCGCTACAAGTGGTGTCGCCGCGAGGACGGTGGCCCAATGAAGGAAGGTGTGTTCCATCGTTGCTGGATGCTTCTCGAGGGACCGTGGGTCTACAAGATCGCCGACTCCGCTTCCACGGCCTCGTTCTGTCAATATTATTGGATCGATGAATGAGGAAAGGATTGTTTCTTGTGTACTATGGTAGTGTGGAACTTTGGAATGGTCCAAAATTTGGACATTTAATGGCTCCACCACGATCATCATTTTTTCGGCGCTGGCAGTTTGGACTCCGGGAATGTACAGTAGGACTTGGTCATCTTTCCGCCTAAAAGAAACACGTCGGAAAGTTTGTATTGATAATCTCTTTGCTTAGGAATTGAGGCCGATCAGTACATGGGAAAGCTTGAGTTCGCATGTTTTAAATGGAAGGTAATTGCTGAACCCGGCGCCGAACTTATGTGCCTCGGCATTTGGCGGTGCATGTGACGTACATTCGCTGGAATACGGGGTCCAACGCTGGGCTGGTCCTAGCGTTGGCTAGTGCCTAGATGCATGCACATTTGAAAAGAAACCCATGATCTCCTTTACGTGGATAGGCCTGAGCCACATTTCCAAGCGTTTTCTGGAAAAACAAATAACACTAAAATTTACTTGTTAGTTTTCCGTTTTCTGGTGATTTCGCCTCTGATATATTAGAGGAAGGGCGCCTTGGCGAAAGCGCACAATCGTTGAGTTTGGGGGCCAGCAGATTCGTAGTTTTGCAGCTTTTGAACGGCATTAATGGCACCCTTTTGAGTTCCATCAGAATGGAGGTTTGGGCCCGTGGGACTGCTGGGCACTGGGCGAGCTCAATGGACACACGCGAGCAGAGTGCAAGACTCATTACCCCACTGCTCTTGTGAAGGATATGCATGCCTAGTGATGGATCACGCATACTGATCGCCACCTGCGACCATGCAATACATGGCATCCAAGGGAGGATGTGCATTGCTGATGGGGCGGCTTGCCAGGGTGGACTTGCGCATTAGATAGGTTGATGTGCGCTGGAAACGGGTGCTTCATACGGGGTATGGGACCACTCCTCCCCAGGCAGCATCGCTGCGCTGATTGATGTCAAGCCAGGCATTCGCGTATTCGAGCTGCAGTGGTGTGCACAATGCCAGTGCTTGTTATGCGAAGGTGACGGAATTAAATGCGCGTGACGTGCATGGGGAACGGGTGCAGAGTCTTGCAGAGATCGGGCAAAGACTCCCCGTGAGGTGGTGCTGTGAGAAGCCCGTTTTGCTGGCGCTCGTGGCATGCCAGTGCACTGGGCCCTGAAGTCTTCCTCTTTGCAGAGATTTCTGGCAAGAGGCAACCTCGCAGCCAGCCGCGCCGGGCGGCGCAGGTTTCACATAAATTTCTTTCAGATAAAATAATTGGACTATTGGATCAAATAATGGCCGACTAAGGCGATTGTTGGGTTTTAGAGTGGCGGCGGTTTGGATGGGAATTTAATCCGATTTTCTGGTGGTGATACAGTGTTTGGAGATGTATCCTTTGCGACATAGAATGATGGACGGTGAACGAGGGTCGCACTTCTGAGCGTAGGATTGTGCAAATCTCTAATTCGAATGAACGAGGAGGTGAAAGGACGCAGACGGCCGGATGCTGTGGTACTTAACTACATTTTGTGGGAACTTGCACGGTGTTCCTGCGTTGCCATTCTTGGTGTACAATGTGCACGCAAGTTCATTGTCTTAGTTTGTTTGGTCATTTGTGGCTCTTCCGTTTCTGACTGCATAAGTGCGTTCCAATGCACTGCCGACCAGCAGCATATGCACCATTGCTTCATTTCGCAAAGTTCCAGTCGCTTTTTAGGGCCTTGGCAATTGTTCCTTGAGTTCCCTTTAATTCCTAGTCGCACATTCAATCGCCCCTTAGGCCAATATGGGCGCGCTCTTGTTGGCCTTAAGAAACGGCCGAAGGCGTCCTTTTGGCGCTCCAAAGGTGAACTAGCAGAAAAGGACCAAGTAACGCTTTTGGCGAAAACACATATATGCACCTCGTCAGCGTTACGCATGCCCAGAACACGAAAATTAACACAAACTCGTAAAATTTGTGGAAGTTTGAAGACGCGTTATTTTGCACTTTTTTCCTGGTGGCGTTGCTCAAAACCTGGTGCTTCATGGGAGCCGTGAGCCACCAGTGCCGGAGGGCCAAACTTTCTTGTCATAGCGTGCGCAAATCGCTCTTGGAAAAGCGACTTGTTCACGTTGCGATGAGAGAGGCTGGGCGGCTGTGCTGAGACAAAGGCCGCCATTTCACGACCCGCGCCAGTGCTCAAGTCATCGGAGCCTCCAATCCCTCCAATTTCGAAGGCCAGCCAGAGCGCTGGCGGGCGCACTTGAAAGAGCAGGTGCCCGGTAAACAGGCCGTAACGGGTCGGCCTCACAACAAGCGACGGCTTCCCGCGCCAAACATTGTATAATCATGGCGTGGGTGGTATGCAAGCTCCAAATCGCAGGCCGTACTAATCCATTGATGAGCGGAACTGCTGATGTTCTGTCATTTCGCAACGATGCTTTTCCAGGGCGGCTTTCCTTCTCCGTGTTTCCACTAACAGGCGTCGGCTTAAAAGGAGCCTGCCAAGATAAATTTATCTGACATTTAAATGTGACATTTAAATGCGCAGAAGGAAAACCCGGTCAAAAAATTTTTTTTATCTTTCTGTTATTCTCCATAAAAGGGCCTGGATAGCGTCTCTGTCGGAAATGCTAATGTACAGCGCTGTACATCGCTAGCGGCATGCATGCCTCTGAGCCCTTGCTTCCGCCTGGCTCAAACAAGTTGCTCGACTAATCACTATTCCGCGCAGGGGGGGATTTACGCCCATCTTCAAGCACTTTGCAAAACACCCAAGGCGCAAAACTCGAAAATGTGCGTGGCTGCGTGTGTGCTCTCCGATGGTGTCTGCCCAAGCAGCACCAAAATTGACAACCTCAAGGTCCTCAAGGCGAGCAGTCTTCCGGAAACCGCTGCTAGGGCGGTTTCCTTGACTGCCACGTTCTAGAATTGAGGTTTTCCACGTGGGTTCGAGCACTACTGAGATGTTGCTAGATCTGCTAGATTCGCTATGTCTACTGGTCGCAATCGGAATTCCAATCTGTGCTTAAGGGCGCAGATACTCAAATGCTGTTGCTGTCGATTTCGACTTTCTTGTCGCCGCCGAAATTTTCTGGAATGGGACATTCCTGCAATCGAAATGATAACATGAAATCAAACAGATACAAATTCATGCAGGAGGGGTAATCGAAGTTAAGTTGATTGGCCCCTGCCCAAATTTTCGACATCCATCCTCATGTCGATGTCCGTGGTGCTTGATTATTGGATGCGTCCAAGGGTCAAGCATCGCAGAAATGTGGCTCGTTTACACAACATTATGTGGCGTGCGCACACTTCACATTATGTCTGAATGTCTGAGCGCAAGCGATATCGACACGTGACGTTCCATGCTTCATGTGCTGCGAAGGTAAGGATAGTTACGCCTTGCCGCCAAGCCACCCGCCTGAGGAGTGCAGGTGTCTCTGTGGCACACTGGAGTTTCTTTCGGCCTCTCTCCACCATGACCAACGTTCCCCTTGGTGTTTCCCCCACCCTGAGAGCATCTTCATGGTGCCGCAACCGGAATACACACGCACGCTGACTTAGCCATGACCACGTCCAGCCAAAACGGTGGCCCTTGCCTTCATTGTGTTCATTGCGTCCATCGTCGACAGTTTGTGCACATACCGTGGCATATTCAACCCCTCCGAATAGTAACGCAACGGTTCGCCTCTTTTTTCGGAGAAGACAATAAAATAGAGCTTTCGCGGAGCAACATCAAAACGTACTTCCTCCGCCCGGAATTAAACGGAACAGTTTGCTTGAGAGGTCGCATTTATATCAGACACTATACCATTTTCCTAATTGGTGTAGAGCACCCCCCAGAAGCTCAATATGTGCTTTCAAATTTTTATGGAGAACGGGTAAGTACTGAGCACATGAAAGTACTTTAAACCCTTGTAACTCCAGCCAAAAACTCGGACCTTCTCAAGGTCGGCCGAGCAGCCCCCCCCACGGGTCTTTGACTGGTGGCCTTGCGACTGAGGGTGCATGGCGCAAAGGGGATATCTGCATCCGCCATCATGGCTGCACGTTGGAGACGTTCCAGCCAAACAGGAGAGACCGCGTAACCGACTTCCGCACAGCTCGATCGTCGATTACGACCGTGGTTTTGGCAAGCCAGCGAGGATTTCAGCTCCGGATCGGAAAAGCAGAAATCGTCTAACTTTACAATCACGGCCCCATGGACATGGTCGCTATAGGCGCTAAGCTGACCACGAAGATTTTAGAACAATCTGATCGTCACCTCACTGCGTGGCAGTAAACAGATTGCTAGACCTGCCTGTGGTGTGAATATGCTGCAAGGAGCATTTTGAGCGCCGTTTGCGCCGCTTTGAAAGTGGCCGCCATGCCAGATTCTTGTGGGCACCATCGGAAAACGCAGAGACATTTAAGGCCTCTGATTGATCATCCACGCCCTCTTTCCTCGTGTTTGATGTGGCTGATGCATGCTCGAGTGGTGGTGCTTCCTATGCTAGCAAGCCATCAATTGGAGATCTGTGCCGAGCAAAGAGCTTTTGATGCACATAGCTATTGTGCTGGTCGTCTGAGGACACTAGGAGACCTATTGGCAATGGCCGATCCCAGACATATTGGTGTGCCGCCGTGGACGCTGGGGCGGATTGCTAGTGAACACTGATGGCGATGGGCAGACCTAGCCGCCGCTTCTGCCGATCTTCCTTCGTGAAGGTGTCGATCTCTGAGATAGAGCCCGAGCAACG